TGTGCCGACTATACTGTATATTCGAAATGTGGAGTCAAGCTGTGTAGACATTGCCCTGTTAACAGTGTTGTGAAGAATTAGTGTTTATTAAAGAGGAACTACAGTGCACAAGTGTGTTTCTGTGACCTGGTGGATCTCTACCTGCCGGTTGTTTGACTGTACACTGATGCCGATCATTGGGAAATTACCGGAGACTGGCGGGGCAGCCAGTGGTAATTCGACAACACTTACGAGATATCTACTGCTTCTGATAAAAGGAGGGCCGTAACAGTATGTACACAAAGATAGTAAACCAGCCATTACGTCTTCACTGCTTCAGTGAATACATAATGAAGGTCCAAAGCCCTTGAAATGGTGATGGGAATGAACGCGGTGATGAAACGGGTAAACAAAATGTGGTGATGAAATGGGTAAAAAATGTGGTGACGAAATGGGCACACACCGCTTGGATAGATCATATCTGTGTACTGTGTGTAGTTTCAGTAGGAGTGGCCTTTGAAATTTTCCTATTGTTTCAGTTAGTTTTATGAGGTACCCAACAATCATGTATCTGCTGTAAATGGGACTGCCCAGTATGGGCCAATAGGCCCGCTGCAGTTTCCTCTATTCTTATGTTTTTATGTTCCTAAATATGTGGTTGATAATACAATAAATATTATTTTATCATTACTTCTGTTGCATAAACAATGGACCAGCAAAATAGCCATAACCAATAATTTAGCTAGTACCAAAGTAATTTGTGATTGTGTCAGTTATCTATGAGCTCATTGGCAGAGTTGACAATGTTTTGGACTTTCATGAGGAACAAATTAGTTATGACGCAAGACAAGTGGGGTTGTGTGGACCATAATTTCATAAGTGGCAAAAGAGAATAACACCAAAAAACGTGGTTAAAGTTCGGAAAATGGAAATCACTATGTCTTGAACTACAGTAATTGTAATAGTGCAATGATAATAGTAACAAATTGAAGCTTTACGCACTGAGGATTCTGTTGCCATAATCAAATAATAACAATCTTGTCATTAATGTATAAATAATCAGGAAATTAATCATAACCTTAGTAATTTAGATGCATTAGATTTTGATTAAATTTGAATACAGTAGTTTGATATAGGACACTCATGTACAGTGCCCCCCAAAATTAGCATTAGATTTTCCATTGCTATGATTTGACACACTAGACAAAATGCTTTGATATGATCCCCAGTGCATAATTATAAGTTGATATGTCTGGTCACCTTATCAACAACAGCTAGAGATGAGGGTAGGGTTGGAGGACGGAGTCATCCTTGTATGGCAGACTAGATACATTACTTCAGTATAACAAGAAATCTATTGAGCTATATTAATGTATGCACTGTATATACTCATTTATGCTCAGAGGTCAAGGATGTAGAACTACGAAACAGGTTGAGTAACATTGTTCGGAAAGCCTCGAATCACGTCGACCCCATGGCTAATGATACTTTTGGGGGGGGGACTGTACAGTCTCGTTCAAGATTCTTCGAGCACTGCTGGAGACAGCTGGCAACTCAAGGCCGTTTGTTTACTATAGTATGCAGTAAAAATTATGAATGAATGTAAAAGTGATCGGTGATTGGTTACTTAGTTCCCCGTTGCTTAATTAGTGGTTGGGCTTTGTTGTTTCATATTATATTATACTACGTAATATAGTAAACAAGCGGCCCTGAGTTGCCAGCTGTCTCCAGCAGTGTTCGAAGAATCTTGAATGAGACTGTACATCTTAACTTATCATAATCAATACTGAAATTGTCTGCGAGATTATAGTGATCACCATAAAAATCACCCGAACTGCATTATCTGGCAAAAAATTGAAAGATTAGATTACAGTACAGTATTGGGGAATTTCCTTCTTAATGGGAAATTGTACTTTTTTCACTCCTCTATAGAAAACAATCATTTAGATTCCAAGAAGTGAATGTTTAGTGAAGGTGAAAATTAATAAGGATTTAATACTCAGACTGAGGATGTTAGGTTCTTTTCATAGCAAGTCCTTTAAAGTCAAAACTTAGGTTTAAAGGAATTTTATCACACTTATGTTACTATAGAGCCTGACAGTTGTCAGACCCTTACACCGTGCACAGCTTACCCAGCTACAAATGTTTATAAATGCCTAACTCATTGATTTGTTTATCCTGTAATGTTTTTATGATTTTGTACTGTAGTATTGTGTACATATATCTCGCACAAGAATTTGTATATTTCCCTGGATTAAAATTGAATGACTATGGGATGTTATATACAGGTACTGTATTTCTCTCAGTATATTATTTATTAATTGTAAAGTAAATTTATTGTAAATTTGTTTTGTAAATATTTTTCAGTGTTTGTAAAAAAATCAAATACTGTACAAATATAGCCTGATTTATGAAAACAAAATATAACCGCAAAAAGACACCATTATTTCCATTTCTTTTAATTTCTTTTAATTTTTAGTCTTAGGTAGAAACTGGAAAATTACCCATTACAATACTGTACTGTATCTATAATTTATAGTAAAAATTGTTATGCAGTATACAAGCCAATGACATTTTTCAAATCCTGCTCCACGTACCTGTACGTATTTGACAACTCGCCAGCAGTTTTAATTTTTTTCTTTATCCAAGCAATTTATCCTATACAGTACAGAGATGTCTGGAATGCAATTAACAAGTGAAATATAAATTCATACACTACATATTGGTACAGTAATTGGAGTGTGTTGTTCATTTTAGACAGGAACTATACAGCTGCATGAAGCTTCTGTAAGTGACACACTAGTATACAGCTGTACATTTTAGGATGATGTGGATATGTATTTCTTGACATAATAAGTGTTTAAATGTGTGCCAAACAGAGAGAGTACTATACAGTATACTGCACTATCATTATGGTATGTATAAACAATCCTTTTGTGTGCTTAATGTGTGTTTGTTGTTTGGTGAGCTTTTTAACTTCATGAAACCACGACCAAAGTGGAGTTTCCACTCCAGAGTGGAGTGGAGACTCCACTCTCTCACTCATTCAAACTAGTTGCCGTATACAAACAAATGTGGTGGAAAACAAGTGAACTGTGCGGTGCTCACTGCCCGCTCTCCCTTGACTCTTCCAAAACCGTTAACGAAAATTGCGAATTATGAGAGGCTGGAATTTTTTAAAGTACATATACAGTAGACCCTTGCCATTTGCAAGGGATAGGTTCCAAGAAATGGTGCGAATTGGCAAAACCACGAATAGCAGCATATATTACCTTAGTGCAGTACTGTATACCTATACCAAACAACTGACCAGCCGCGGCAGCACTCATCCCCTCTTTTAACTTATCTAATAATAAAACTTTCTTTGTCAGGGTCATCGCTGACTTCTGCCTTTTACATTTCACTCCATTAGCATCACTACCACTGACACTAGGCAGTCATGTGGGAGCCATCTCACACAGTAACACTAAAGTTTTGAGAGTACAACACGAGATGCTGCGTGGGGTGACTTGTTGTGCTGTGGGAAAAGGCTTGCAAGCTAGCCACCATAGCCACCATCTGCTTACCGCGAATCGTCAAAATCGTGACTCGCAAACTTGCGAATGGCAAGGGTCTACTGTACTGTGAAACCATTAAGAAACTCGAGAAGTTACTGTGCAGTACAGTATAAATATTCAGGTGTTTCAGTAAATATTGTACTCCACAATATTTCACAGAAAAAGAACCAATTATGAATGTGGAGGTAACACATATGCCTTGATTTGCTTAATGAACCAGAGAATGTTTCTACAGCAGCCTTAATCATTAGTAACATTACAGCTTATTGCACAAAAAAATACAAACCCAGTTGCATAATCCGTCAACTGACCATAATGCCCAAGGTCTGAGTATGTATCATACTACTGTACTTAAAAAGAATCCCGGGAGTTTTTTAGCATGTTTCCGGGGGAACATCTCTGTCCATAGGAACACATCTCTAATTGTATAATTGAACATAACCCTTCCATAGCTAACTCAAAGAATGCCTGTTTATTGTTCTGAATATGAGTGTGAAGTTCATGATTTTTTTCATACACCAAAGTTTATTACTGTGCTCTGTCAATCATATACAGTCGTCCCTCGGTTAACGAACACAATTCGTTTCAGAAGGTCATTCGTTAACCGAAAATTTCGTTAACCGAAACCATTGTTTCAATGGGATTTTGGGTAATTGGTTCCAGCTCACCGAAAATTACATACAAAGTAAAAATAAATGCAGTAAAGTACACTTACTTTGAGGTGTGTATGTAGAAGGTTCCTGGTTGATGATGATGATGATGGGAATTAGAAGTGGGGGTGGAAGAGAAATCACCCCATGCTTTATGCCGTCATTTCACCCATAAAATTTTAAGTTCACTTGGTGTAATTCAAGATTATTTTCTTTAAATCATCACTGCACTGCACTATTTATTGTCAATATGTAAAATAAATTTCAGAATGACCAATAATTGTACTGTAAAAACGTAAAAATAGTTTATGTTCAAGCGAGCCACAAGCAAGATGTTACCTCCACTGACCAGAGATACAAACTGACGCCTTTGTGGGTGACTCAAGTGGCTGAATGGCGCACCAAAAACTAGTTCCCGTACTGCAATTATGTTAAATAAGTTAAAATGAAAAACAAAAATTAATATAAAACTTGGAAAATTATTTAATAGTACAACCTTCTTGATATTTACTCAAATGGGAATGAATTTATGCCCTAGAACCGATTACTGTATTGGCGGACTAATATTCCAGCTGGTGAGCAAGCGAAAACATGTTGACATGATTTCGTAAGAATTTCGTTAACTGAATTGAAGATTCTTATGGAAGGTAATTCGTTAACCGAGGGATCACTGTAATCAGGTTATTAGATAATAGATACAGCAACATTGTATGATATACTGTACTGTATTGGATATCTAATGAATAAAATGTTCTCTTCCCCAGGTTAAGATCAAGCCATCATGCCTCGGCTAGGTCTTGGTTACGATATGGACCAGTTCCTGGACCATTGTCGCATGACCAAGCCTCCTTACGAGTGCCCCCATGCCTCCTGTGGCAGGATCTACCGCAGTTTTGCGGGGATGCAGCATCACATGACAACTTACGACCATGAAAATCCTCCTCCTAATGTGGTCACTCCAAAGTCAGGTGAGTTGCTGATTTTAACACATTGTGAATTTGTAATCTTCATTTATTGAATTCTATAAAGGTGAATTACATGCAATTGGTGAATGGTTGATGATACTGTACAATAAAAAATTTCAGTTCGTACCGAGAACTAGAAAATTCTAGAATATCTTAAGTTATGTATATGTTATTGTGGGTAAACTTCAGTGTAAAGTTGCGGTCAAAAGTTCATCCCCAGTGGTGAAACTGAGACACGGGAATGAGTCTGAGCTGACTTACCCTGACGGGTGTACATGAGTAGTTAAAAGTAATTCGTGTATGATCCTTAAAAGAACTACTGTAAAGGTAACCAAGTACTTTAGTGTACAGTGCTGTACACTGTACAGGTATTTCCTTTTTATCAGTTGTAAAGTCCTCTAGCAAATATCTTGTTAAATATACAGTACACACATACACACACGATATTTATTTTATTTTTTACGGGATTAGCCAACCAGGGCACAGGTCAATGGATCACATCAGGCCCTGGGGGTTATATTATAATAATACTACTACAGTACTACTGTACTACCTGTACTACTACTACTAATAATAATAATAATTATTATTATTAAAAAAAATATTAAGAATACTGTACTGTATATAAAAATAATAATATAAAAATAATAATACCCCCCTGTATAATAATAATAATGATGATGGTAATAATATTAATACAGGACCATAAAAAAAATCAAAAGTGGGAAACATTATATGTATGTTGTGTTCTCAGAGAAACAATTGAAACCCTGCAATTGTGTGTAAATGAGGCAGAAAGTCAGGTCAGCAACTTGGGACTTGGTCACAATTTTTGGGATGCCATATGGCAGGAGGGTTTACCAATAGACAATACGTACAGTACATTATGCTTCCAATATCTTCCCAGGCGGTAGCACCTCCCTGTTTGATAGCTGCCTACTACCTACTACACTGTACAATATATATATTTAATTTAGCATGAAGATATTAATATGTTCATTGTATAATGTACAGTAGAATTTTCCAAGATGTATAGTGATGATTTACTTCTGATGCAGAATATAAAAAATGGACATATGAGGACATTTTAACCTTTTCAAGAAAATTAAGACTATAAGTTAGGGTGGCAAAACTATTTTTGTATTGAATAATTGTTTGGTTTTGAAGTGTTGTACTGAGTGATAATTTTTATTGTTTAGCGCGGAAGAAAAACATGAAGAGGCCACCATCCCCTCTTGCAAGCCAGGAGCCAGAACCTCCATCAATACCTTACTCTCATGATATGAAGACCGTAGAGTTTGAGGTAGATGGGAAACTGTCTCGCCTCTCTGTCTACGACCCAATAGAAATTCTCTCCAAAGTAAGTTGCGATGATACTATGATACTTTGTTTTAAATATGATGCCAGGAATGTATTGAGTGGGTCAGTGTTTTTTTTTTTTATATACTGTACAGTATGTACAGTGTTCAGAAATTAAGTGCAAGTATGTATTACTGTACTGTATTGTATACAGTAGTCCCTCGCCAATGGCAGGGGTTAGGTTCTTCAAAACACCTGTAGTTGGTAAATCCGCAGTTGGCAAGACTAATGGTTTATGGGAAATAAGGGATTAGGTTTCATGGCCACGGATAACACCCGTCAAAGCAGGGCTGTGGAGTCGAAGACAAAACCTTCGACTCCGACTCCGACTCCTCAAATTTTTATGCTTCCGACTCCAACTCCTTGGCCTATTTGTAACAACTATTTCTACCATCCTAATTGTAATTTATATGTTGTAACCTGCATAGGTAAAAAGTAAAACACCGTGGCTATACTGCTTTATTAATGATCTGGACGATATTTAAGAACTACAAAAAGATGATAGGCTTGACTTTCAAAGTTTCAATCAAAAGAAAAATAAATTTATTAAGAATTCAAGATATTAACTAGAAAACACCATTTACATGTATATCTAAAAGTTCGATCTCAGCATATGAATTTTGTTTAAGCTCATAATCTGATGTGGATCTAAATGATGATCCTACAATTCCTTTTAAAGTAAAGTTATATATTTATGTACATTAAAGAAATGAATACCTTATTAAGGAAAATGGATAAACCTTACATGATTAAGTTATTAAATTAAATTTGCCTTAATCTCACCAAAAACAGGTTGTAGCTAATTGTTTTGTAGCTGAGAGCCTCTGTGCAGTTTTCAACGAAACAAAATTTGATATAATTCAAAATTTCAAATGGTAAAGAAGAGACTATCGTCCAAAATTATAGTGCTATACTGTGCCTGCTACAATAAATTCATAATAATGCTTATAAAATGGAAATAAATTCTTTTAATAATTTAAGAAAATTAGTGGGATCAGTGGAATCACTGCAATGAATATGCCTGAGTTCATATATTTGTTCTTAGGAACAGAATAGCTTCAGTCGGAGTCGGAGTCTGGACAATTTTACCGACTCCGACTCCACAAGCCGAAATTTCCTCCGACTCCTCGACTCCGACTCCGACTCCACAGCCCTGATAGGTACTCCTGAATGTGCTGCTTAAGGATCTGTTAACCAAAATTTGATATCTTGATTATAACTTGTTCAAATGGCTTTTAGAAAATGTTCAAATGATTTTTAGAATATTTTAATTACTTTTGCAATGCTAATTACTCGCCACTTATGGGTTTTCGAGGTCATTTCTTGGTGCTTGTGTATTATTCTGGATGTACTTAAATAGTTAGGCACATTAAATTTTAGTTCAGAGAGAAAAACGTATTTTTGGCCAAAAATCTTTAAGGCTTTAGACTTACAATTTTCGTCATTTCGGCCAAAAAATGGATTTTGTTCAAAATTTCAGTATAGGTACTCCTGAATGTGCTGCTTAAGGATCTGTTAACCAAAATTTGATATCTTGATTATAACTTGTTCAAATGGCTTTTAGAAAATGTTCAAATGATTTTTAGAATATTTTAATACTTTTACCAATACTTCTTACTAGCCACTTATGGGTTTTCGAGGTCATTTCTTCGTGCTTATTAGTAATATTCTGGATGTTAGCAAATGAATTAGGCACATTAAATTTTAGTTCAGAGAAAAGCATGTTTGGCCAAAAATCCTTTAAGGCCTGAACTTACAATTTTAAATCATTTAAATAAAAAATGGATTTTTGTTCAAAATTTCAGTGATATAAGGTACTCCTAAGATATTAACAGCAAGGATCTGTTAACCAAGGTGATATCTTGATTATAACTTGTTCAAATGGCTTTTAGAAATGTTCAAATGATTTTTAGAATATTTTAATTACTTTTGCAATGCTAATTACTCGCCACTTATGGGTTTTCGAGGTCATTTCTTGGTGCTTGTGTATTATTCTGGATGTACTTAAATAGTTAGGCACATTTAATTTTAGTTCAGAGAGAAAACGTGTTTTTGGCCAAAAATCCTTTAAGGCTATAGACTTACAATTTTCGTAATTTCGGCCAAAAAATGGATTTTGTTCAAAATTTCAGTATAGGTACTCCTGAATGTGCTGCTTAAGGATCTGTTAACCAAAATTTTATATCTTGATTATAACTTGTTCAAATGGCCTTTAGAAAATGTTCAAATGATTTTTAGAATATTTTAATTACTTTTGCAATGCTAATTACTCGCCACTTATGGGTTTTCGAGGTCATTTCTTGGTGCTTGTGTATTATTCTGGATGTACTTAAATAGTTAGGCACATTAAATTTTAGTTCAGAGAGAAAAAGTATTTTGGCCAAAAATTCTGTAAGGGGTAAGCCTTACAATTTTTGGCATTTCGTCCACAAATGGATTTTGTTCAAAATTTCAGTATAGGTACTCCTGAATGTGCTGCTTAAGGATCTGTTAACTAAAATTTGATATCTTGATTATAACTTGTTCAAATGGCTTTTAGAAATGTTCAAATGATTTTTAGAATATTTTAATTACTTTTGCAATGCTAATTACTCGCCACTTATGGGTTTTCGAGGTCATTTCTTGGTGCTTGTGTATTATTCTGGATGTACTTAAATAGTTAGGCACATTAAATTTTAGTTCAGAGAGAAAACGTATTTTTGGCCAAAAATCCTTTAAGGCTATAGACTTACAATTTTTGTCATTTCGGCCAAAAAATGGATTTTGTTCAAAATTTCAGTATAGGTACTCCTGAATGTGCTGCTTAAGGATCTGTTAACCAAAATTTGATATCTTGATTATAACTTGTTCAAATGGCTTTTAGAAAATGTTCAAATGATTTTTAGAATATTTTAATTACTTTTGCAATGCTAATTACTCGCCACTTATGGGTTTTCGAGGTCATTTCTTGGTGCTTGTGTATTATTCTGGATGTACTTAAATAGATAGGCACATTAAATTTTAGTTCAGAGAGAAAAAGTCTTTTTGGCAAAAATCCTTTAAGGCTATAGACTTACAATTTTTGTCACTTTCGGCCAAAAAATGGATTTTGTTCAAAAATTCAGTATAGGTACTCCTGAATGTGCTGCTTAGGGATCTGTTAACCAAAATTTTATATCTTGATTATAACTTGTTCAAATGGCTTTTAGAAAATGTTCAAATGATTTTTAGAATATTTTAATTACTTTTGCAATGCTAATTACTCGCCACTTATGGGTTTTCGAGGAGGTCATTTCTTGGTGCTTGTGTATTATTCTGGATGTACTTAAATAGTTAGGCACATTAAATTTTAGTTCAGAGAGAAAACGTATTTTTGGCCAAAAATCCTTTAAGGCTATAGACTTACAATTTTTGTCATTTTCGGCCAAAAAATGGATTTTGTTCAAAATTTCAGTATAGGTACCAGGGCTGTGGAGTCGAAGACAAAACCTTCGACTCCGACTCCTCAAATTTTTATGTTTCCAACTCCGACTCCTTGGCCTATTTGTAACAACTATTTCTACCATCCTAATTGTAATTTGTATGTTGTAACCTGCATAGGTAAAAAGTAAAACACCGTGGCTATACTGCTACAGCTTTATTAATGATCTGGACGATATTTAAGAACTACAAAAAGATGATAGGCTTGACTTTCAAAGTTTCAATCAAAAGAAAAATAAATTTATTAAGAATTCAAGATATTAACTAGAAAACACCATTTACATGTATATCTAAAAGTTCGATCTCAGCATATGAATTTTGTTTAAGCTCATAATCTGATGTGGATCTAAATGATGATCCTACAATTTCTTTTAAAGTAAAGTTATATATTTATGTACATTAAAGAAATGAATACCTTATTAAGGAAAATGGATAAACCTTACATGATTAAGTTATTAAATTAAATTTGCATTAATCTCACCAAAAACAGGTTGTAGCTAATTGTTTTGTAGCTGAGAGCCTCTGTGCAGTTTTCAACGAAACAAAATTTGATATAATTCAAAATTTCAAATGGTAAAGAAGAGACTATCGTCCAAAATTATAGTGCTATACTGTGCCTGCTACAATAAATTCATAATAATGCTTATAAAATGGAAATAAATTCTTTTTAATGTTGAAAGTTAGTTGGGATCAGTGGAATCCTGCAGTCTCCTGAGTTCATATATATTTGTTCTTAGGAACAGAATAAACTTCAGTCGGAGGTCAGGTCTGGACAATTTTACAAACCATTCTGTAAGTACTCTGACCACCGACTCGACTCCAGAGCTCCACAGCCTGATAGGTACTCTGAATGTGCTGTAGGATCTGTTAACAGAATTTGATATCTTGATTATAACTTGTTCAAGTAAACTTTGAAAATGTTCAAATGATTTTTAGAATATTTTAATTTCCTTTGTAATGCTAATTACTCGCCACTTATGGGTTTTCGAGGTCATTTCTTGGTGCTTGTGTATTATTCTGGATGTACTTAAATAGTTAGGCACATTAAATTTTAGTTCAGAGAGAAAACGTATTTTGGCCAAAAATCCTTTAAGGCTTTAGACTTACAATTTTTGTCATTTCGACCAAAAAATGGATTTTTTTCAAAATTTCAGTATAGGTACTCCTGAATGTGCTGCTTAAGGATCTGTTAACCAAAATTTGATATCTTGATTATAACTTGTTCAAATGGCTTTTAGAAAATGTTCAAATGATTTTAGAATATTTTAATTACTTTTGCAATGCTAATTACTACTTCACTTATGGGTTTTCGAGGTCATTTCTTGGTGCTTGTGTATTATTCTGGATTATTACTTAATTGGGCACATTAAATTTTAGTTCAGAAAAAAGTGACACAGCCAAAAATCATAAAAGGCTTTAGACTTACAATTTTCGTCATTTCAGGCTAAAAATGGATTTTTTGTTTCAAAATTTCAGTATAAATTATATGAATATGCTGCTTGGATCTATTAGCCAAATTTGATATCTTGATTATAACTTGTTCAAATGGCTTTTTAGAAAATGTTCAAATTATTTTTAGAATATTTTAATTACTTTTGCAATGCTAATTACTCGCCACTTATGGGTTTTCGAGGTCATTTCTTGGTGCTTGTGTATTATTCTGGATGTACTTAA